TCTTGATTTCCTCTTTTTTCTCAGTTTATGGTAGCATAGGTCCATTCAAACCAATTTGTTGGAAGATATTTGTGTGTTGTTTTAAAATTGAGTTTGGAGCAAGGTAATTTAAGCTAAGTTTATAAGTTTTGGTCCAACACCTGTATCAATTGCTGGCTGGACAGAGATGGGTTCGTTAAGTACCAGTATATCAGCACATGATAAGCTAATGCATTCTATCAGTGTGGATCAAACAAAAAGAGGGAGATATCAGGGGAGGAGGAGGATGAGAGGAGGAGAAGCAGGAAGAGAAGGTAGATAGAAGTAGGTGGAGAAGGATGAGGAGGGAAGAAGAGCGGAGGAGGAAGAGAAGGCTGAGGAGGAGACATGGCATGGTGGAGGGGAATGGGTGATGTAGCTGGGTCTGGTGTGAGATGGCAAGGTAGCTGTAGTGAGGTGGTGGGAGGAGAATATATTGAGGGGAGAGCGACTAGAGAAAGAAAGAAATCGAGGACCATGGGAGGGAAAAAGAGAAAAAAAGAACAACTATCACCGAAAACCTATAAAATAACACCGGATGATGAGCTTTGGTTTGGTAAGGTTACCGAACAGTAACTCCTGTCTCAGACGGAAGGCAAAATTACTGAGTTCCATCTCCCATTTTCTAGTGGGACCGGTAAATACTGGTTAGAACAAATTGGTTCAACTTGTTTGTAAATTTTTTGTTTATCCGAAGGACAGGTGATGAAGAAATATTTGATCCAAGGATATTGCTATCAACAGCTGAGGATTTTACCAACTAGGTAAGTTTTTAAATCGTTGATTTAAGCAATCTGAGACAATCTGGTGAGTAGCTAGGGGAGATTGAAGTGGATCATGTGGTACATGATCTTGTCACTCCTACCTCTATATCTGATGGGATTCACGTAATGGCTTATCGAAATGATCTTTACTGGGTTTCTCTTTTATTTTTGGGTGATGTTGTTGGGATATATCACCCCTAACAAGATTTCTTAGTATGAACTAGCAATTATCTGGTGCAGTGCATAGATTTATGCATTTTCATAAGGCTTCATTAAAATTGTTCTGTAATTAAATAATAAAAGGTATCAGAAGCTGTTAATTTTAAGAACACATTTATGATTAGTACCAGTCAATAAATGCATGAATGCATTATATAATTGTGAAAAACAACTGTCAATGTGACAGCACAAATAACCTTTCTATTTGCGTGATGTATATTCAAGTATAAATATTGCATTAATATCCATTACATGGAAACTTATGCTTGGGTTTTTCTGTGAGTAATAAACATGAGAAGCATAATGAGAGTCGTACTTGAAGAAATGGAACCTAGAAGGGTAAATGGGCATATTTGACACCATAATTAGATAAAATAATAAGCAATCTTACAATTAAATTTTAAAACAACAATTTGGATTAAGTGCAAAAGATATATCACAATCCCGTAGCAAAGCATGAGTCGTTGCTCGTCGCAGCATGTCCTCGTATGTGGAAGAAATCCTTGTACTTCCTTTTTTTTAGTTACACATGCAAAAATCCTTTCATCTTTTACCAGCATATAGCAAATATGTTCTCAGAATATAATAAACATGATTCTAACAACAATTTTGAGTGCGCTCATACTCCAACAGGAGCATTGGAGATCCATGATTGTTTGATTGTGGCAAGGAGGGATGCCGATGCCTTTGGCGTGGTGCGTTTATATGTTTCGGCATGTCTTCGAAACTATTGGCATGGCAGGAATCGACTCGGTGATTTGTTTGGCACCTTACATATTGGTGAACTTGACTATCTGAGATGGGTTTTTGTTTTGTCTATTTTTTTGTTGTTGTTGTTGTTTGGGCTATGTATGATCCAACTTTCTTTTAGGTGTAGTTTCAATCCTTGTTCCTTTTTGTATCACGGCCGCTTATGAATTCATGGAATGCGTCAGTTGTATGCTGTAAACTACCTTTTATGTAGTGCATCTTTCCCCTTTTCCAAGAAGAAAAGAAAAAATTCGACCGTGTTGATCAACAGCTTGATTGTACTCGACCCTTTTCCAACAAATATATTTTCTTAAGTTATTTTCGAAGAGCCGAAAGGATTGCTTAGAGCCAATGTGTGGTATGTAACTGAAGGACAAAACGAGATAGTAACCATTAACATCTTTGCTAGGGGTAGAGTATAGAAATAAGATATGCATAAAAAAAAATACTATCAATTCATACTTCTATGTTAGATTATGTGGTTTTATTTAATTAGGTAAGATATATTATATTTATGATTGAATTTTGATTATGGTTATTAGTCAATAGAAAAGAAGTTCATATTATAATAGAATTTCTTAGGGGATGTCCTTATTATAAACTCTCTGCTCTCGTTTATAAATAGATAGGACCTTTAGAGGCAAGATAGATGCATCTCAACATAGTTGAGAGATTATGGTTTTTCTCTCAATCTCCTTAATCCATCAATCTAAGTGGTCATGTAAAAAGATAAAAAGAGAGGAGAAGGAATTTCTAGTTCTTCCTGTATCTCAGATGCGACGATGGTTACAAATTTTATGCTAACAATCTATTCATTATTTTCCTAACACATAAGTAGTATTATAGTTGTTAAATATTTTGTACAAAATGATGGATAGAGAAGTAAGAGAGTACCGTGTAAACTTAGTCTTAATTAGTCTTCGAGTTAGAACTAAATAAGTGGTGTTCCATGGGCTAATTATATATTATCCCTATGGTAAAACATTTTTAGCATTCTAGTCTCTCAATTAAAAAAAATTACATTGAAATCTCTATAATTATGGAAGTAAAACATTTAATCTCATTTAACCTGACATCGTCAATTGTACTGACAAAAAAATATAGCATGTGATAGCACATACATGAATGACATGAAAACGATAGACAAAAATATAATTTCAATAGTAGTGACAGATGGTGACCGTGAGTAGCTGTTGTGGTGGTGGTCAACGAGAACAATGATCAATCTTGTTGATGATGATCTAAACATCGACGAGGAGGAGGAAGAAGAGGTAAAACGGTGAGGTATCTACATTGGTGCTTGAAGAGAAAGAGAAGGCAAGTGAGGCATTTGCATCGGCACTACACGCTCTGCTTCACTTGCCTCCTGTTCCTCCTCCGGCATCGACGCAGATATAGAGTGACATTAGAGGAGGAAGAGGGGGCAGAGCGATTGCGGTGTTGACGCAAATGCCTCACCTCCTTTCTCTTCCTCCTTCATTGTCAACATAAATGTCTCATCGCCTACCTTCTCTTTATTGATGTTTGAATCAATATTAGCAAGATCGACTATTGCATCATCATTTGCCACCACCACCCATGACGTCAACATTTGTCACTATCGTTGAAATTATTTTTTTATCTATCATTTTTATACTATTCATGCATGTGTTGTTATGTGATATATCTTTTATCGGTAAAACCAATAGTATTAGGAAAATGAGATTAAATATTTTACTTTCATAATTATAGTAATTTCAATATAATTTTTTTAAGTCTAGGGATTAGGATACTAAAGAGGTGGTCTAACTATAGAAATTTCAATGTAAATTTTATAAGAAGATCTAACTATAGGAGGTAATATGTAATTAGCCCATGTCCCATTGAATTTAACTTGAAAATATGTCAAAATATTCCTAAAGTCATCCCAAAATAAAAAATTCTATGGAATTACCGGTTAGATGTTATTGTCCTTCTGTGTCGAACGGTGAAATGGACAAGTATTGAAAAGTTACACTGATATATAATCAACATGAAAAAATAGACATTTACCCAAATAGTTCAGCAAGATATTTCTTTCCACCCTACTATATTGCAGTTCATGAATCAAACATCATGTTTGGACATAGTTCCCCAAAAAATTGTCTAATTTTTTGGGGTAACAACTAATTCCAGCTTTTTACCCACAAGAAAGGTGTCTAATTGTAGATTTTGTTCAAAACTAATACTGACCCTCAGCAAGCAAGATGTCCAAATCTCAAAAGCATTTCTGCTAACTTATATGCAAACCCATTTGCAGACAGCAGCTATAAGAAAGTCAAACGGTGATGGCTGATTCAAAAAGATGCCGCACTTGCAGTTTTGCTGATATGATTTCAATGTTTGAACATACAAAGGTAACTATGTTATTAACAATCACTCGATATTATTAAATATTGAAAATTGAATGTGAGTTACTATATATCGAATATTGGACATTAAATGTGATTAACATCGTTAATCTATGTATCATTTCCAAAAAAAAAAAAAGGAATGCAAGCCATTGAGTCAAGATAATGACAAAAAGATCTCTGCCGAGGTGCCAAGTGACTCTCGAGGCTGTAATTAGTGTTGAAATGGTGTGTTTAAGTGCACTGCCACCAAAGGTTTGTAGTCACTAAGGATGAAACCTCTACTTAAAAGAGTTTCAACATAAAATGATAAACTCTACTCATCCAATCATAACATAAGTCAACTTTGAACGGAAGTCAAACTGATTAACCACGTTTATACCCATTTCTATGCCCGATCGACGGGTTTTGACACAGTCTCCTCTCCGACATACGGACGTACGTCAAGACGAGTGGTATCAATAGGGGTCACGGAAGTCACGTATACGTACTTTGGGCGCATTTATACCCGTGACCTGACAAATCACAGCCATCGATAGTCTGCAGGCGAAGTGGCCGTCGGATGGATGTTTCTCCACTGCGACTCGGTGTTCCATTTTAGATTAGATCACATCGGACGGTGCTCCTGTCTCAAAGGTCGCTGGAGATCCCACATGAAGATCCGTGCCGCTCCACGTGAAGGAACCGCTTGCCCGTGCGAATCCCAACAGACACGCGTCGTACAAGAAGCAATCTTCGGCTCAAGATTCGCGCTTCGGCGAACGCAACATTATGATTCGCACTACGATGCCATCGGACGGCTACTGATCACCCTGCCGCACGGGAGTCTCGTGTTCCGCCGTGCCCGACGCACCGCATCGTTCAATGGATCGGGTCACGGACGGTGACCTTAAAGACACGGCGCAACCAATTCCTTCGAGGCATCCATTTTCCTTTGACGGGTTGAGCACAAACCCTAAGGCGTTCTCATCGCGCTTTCCTCTGTCGACTGAAGGCCACGGATCTCAGTTGTTTCTCCAATGTTTGATGCTCCCTATCTTTGCATGCATATGACCAAAGAATTTTCAATTTCGCAGAAAATTTGGGGTGAATGGAAATCTTTATTATTTATTTATTTACTTTTTTTTTTTTTTTTTTTGTATATACTCAGGTCTGGATCTCTCCCGAAAAGTATCAAGTAGATAAAGTTTGAGTTCGCTTGTTTCGGTTTCAATTTGGAAACTCTTGTGGGTACTCGATCAAAATTTCGTTGATGGTGCTGAAGCTATTGATTTTTTCTACACATATTTGCCATGGAGCTGTAAAATTTACTGAGAAACGGGAACTAGGGATCGGAGGATAATATTTTGGTCTGAGAAAGAGAGGAAGATCGGCTTTTGCACGGATGAGCGAAGCGAACGTACCATCAGATCCACTGGTAGATGAACAACTTTCCAGGAATCATAACCTTATCCTGCCCCTCCTTAACGAGGGTTCTGAATTGGTAGTTTGCTCCGACAGAGATGGTGGGCAGGCTGCGGCTGAAGCCCCAGAAGCTGCAGAACTGGAAGCAGATTCTGCGGCCATCGACACCCATCACAAGAATTCTGACCCTGTCACTGAGGAGAAACCCAACACAGTGGGAGAAGCAGTGGGGAAGGGATCTGATGACTCCGAAGCGATAAGTTCTTGTAATATCGATGCTGATGTCGGTATTGTTTATGAGGGAACAACCATCGTAGAGGAATCCCATGGTCTGGAAGTGGCACCATTAAACACTGGTGATTTTAGCATTATTGTTGGTGTTGTTGATGATGAAACCGATATTAGAAAAGAATCTGATGACTTGGAAGTGACACCAATAGGCACTGGTGTTGTTGATGCTATTGTTGGTTTTGCTGCTGGTGGAACCACTGCTAGAAAGGAACCCAGTGGTCCAGTAATTCCATCAAGATGCTGTGATGATTCACATGTTACAGATAGTGTTGAGGCTATGACTAATGGTGCTGGGAAGCATGACCCAAACATGCTGTCTACCAGCTGTGAGGCAGCTAAGGCCACTAATTATGTTGCAGATAGGGAGACTGAATTTGAAGAAGCTACTGATGGCAGTACCATGGTTCCTTTGCCTGAAAAGGCCTTAGAAAAGAAGGTTGGCACACTTGTCACTGCAGCCATGAAGAAGTATGCGGTGCCAAGATCATCCAGTTATCATGGAGTTACAAAGTGAGTTTTGAGGGAGAGCTAATCCAATGGAGGTTTCATATTGATGAAGGTATTGGAACTGATTCATGGAACATGATGATTGCCTGTTCGTCGTTGCATTGCAGGTTGAAGTGGAGTGGAAAATTTGAAGCACATCTCTGGGACAACACAAGCAGAGTTGAAGGGCGGAAACGGAAAGGCAAACATGGTATGAGTTAAAGTTGATGTACCTTATTGATATTGTTATATTACATTTATCGATGTTGTGAAAGCAAATATGCTAAGAGTGAATCATCACATCTATGATACCGGTGAGATGAAAAGCTTGTTGTGCATGTTTATCATTTAGCATGTATCTCTTTTTTCAAGTTAAAAGAATTCATTTATTACAAATTCAGTGGCTTGTTTATGAAATACTGCAGCAGATTATTTTAACAACAAGCCCTCATTCCCAACGTTTAGTCTATTAAAATGGTTTTGAGGTGACGTATGTGCAGTGCTCCAGTAGATGCAATATGAGATTGGTTGAGGGAGCACAATGTTGGTGTCGGTAATGATTAAGCAAAGTTAGTTGACATTGATACCAATTTTGGTAGAGAACATGTGTCCAGAAAGTCTATATTGATTGTACCTGACTTACAAGAAGAGATGGGTTATTGAGAATGCTATAGGAGAATTAATTGTAACCGTCACTTACTGAATTTGTCTAAAATTTGATTGACCAATCACAGCTACTGGAATCCTTGGTAATAGCCAGAAATTGACCACGATCTGTCAATGCCAACTAAGTTCTATTGATTTCTGACTGATTTCTCAAAAAAACAAAGGTTTCTAGATTTTACATAGTTCATCCCATTTAAAGCCAACAAACCTGTATTGAAATTGGAGGATCTTGCAATCCATATTTAAGGTGAAAGGTTTGTAGGAATATATCTGGAGAAGTACTTCGGATTAAAGATGATAAACCAGGTAAACATTATGGTGCAACTATAGTTTTGTGACGGGCATGTAGATGGCACAACATGAGTACTTGCTTAAAACCTATAAAGCACTTCAAAAATACAAGGCTGTGAATGACTGTAGTGACCAAGAAGAACAATAGACATCACTAGACTTTATAGGCATTGTGAACCATGAACCTTACGAGATATTTTTGTAATTTATTGTCAAAATATCATAAACTTGTTACAATTAATATAATTAAAGATATATGAAACTATATATGATCTAAAAAGACTTTTTTTTGTATAATTCTTTTTTTTTTTTAATCTAATTTTAACTTTATCTGATTTAGATGTGATTTTCCTAATTGTTCTTAGCCGCTTCAAACTGGTTCTAGGTTCCATGGTAAATCTGATGGGACCAAGATCCTGCAAACTCTCAAACTGCTACAAATTTTTGATAATTCATCTCTAGTTAGTTGCTCCAACGCTTGGGTTGGATCTTCACTAGATTATGTGGCCGATGGTTACTAAGGGTAATATGAAGACTCTGGCTGTTGCCAAAGTTGACATTGGAAGCTATAGTTCTTCTTCAGATAACAATCTGATTGTACAACAATTAATGCAGGAGTTCATCCAGTTTTGGGGTTAATTTTTTAGCCTATATTGAGTCAATTATTGTTTTGCATTTATCTTGATTATATTTTCTCCATAAATTCTATGTTGATGGTTGTTTGAATTCTTTCTTTTGTTCTTCTAGTTTTCTTGTATTCTTAAAGTCTTTTATTTTCTTTGTTTTGGCCCAATAATCTGTGTTAGCCTAATTCTCTTAGTCTGTGTTTCTTCATTTGTTGTGTTTTTTTTTATTAAAACTCCAAACTCACAAGGATCTAAAGATTCCAAATTTAGATATGAAATAGAGTTCCAGCACAATCATTTGTTTTAAACTAGTATCTAGTGGACCTTTTGCTTACTGAAAACCCATTCCTTTTTCTTTTTCCCACACCATCTATAGCTTAAGATAAGGGGTCCACTGTTTTGAGATTATTGAAGAGGTTGCACTTCTTGTCTGCATCAACAAAAATCTAAATGCAGCTCACGAGACCTTCACCAACTAATTCTCTGTTCATTTTGATCATTATATTTTTTTATTTTTTTTGTTTTTGGGTATCAAGACATTTGCTGGTGTAGAAGATGGAGGCCTTCTAATCAGTTTGGAGTCTTGTGCCTTGCCCTCTGAATATTGTTGGCACTGTATTACAGTAGCCACATGAGTAACATGGATTCATGGTTGGTTTTTGTTATTTAGGGAGCAGTAGCTCTCTGCTGTCTCATTCTGTAATTCTCTATTTTTACAATTTATCATTGTTGAGACCAATTTTTTGAGTAAGTATTACTGATTCTTTTTTCTGATTCTCTTTGGTGGCTTTGGTGGCACATACCTGTGCTTATGGTCATTGCCATCGGTTGCTGCTGTGTTTGTGCATCAGTGTATTTAGGTCAGTACTGATATATATTTTTTAGTCTATAAAGCAAAAGTTGTTTCTATAATGATTCTGAGAATCTCATGCAGGCAGCTATGTTTCTGAGGAGATGGCAGCAAGAGCTCATGATCTTGCTGCTCTAAAATACTGGGGTCCAGGACCTACCACCAAACTTAACTTCCCCGTAAGATATCTTTTACCCACCATTTTTAAGATAACTTTTTGAGGTTTTAAGATATTTGAAACTCATAATCTCATTAATACCTTAATTATTGAACTTATAGGTTTCTGATTATGAAAAAGAACTCGAGACCATGAAGACCATGTCTCAAGAGGAATTTGTTGCCTATGTGAGAAGGTGTGACTGAAAAAGTAGTATGATTTCTGGATCACCAAATCATAGTTTTGTTTTTTGTTTTAATCCTCGAATTTCCTTGACAGAAAAAGTAGCTGTTTCTCCAGAGGAGCTTCGATTTACAGAGGAGTGACAAGGTTGGTTTTTCATTCATGCACCTTCTGAATAATAGAATGTTTCTTTATATAGCACACTGAGGATGGCGTCCGCTACTGACCAATGATTCTGTTGCAATTTGGTGGCATTTCGGACCAGAAGACGGAAAGATGGCAAGTGGCAAGCTCGAATTGGTCGGGTTGGTGACCTTAAGGATGCCAAGGACATCTACCTGGGAACATTCGGTGCGCAATCTTCAAATTTGTCTCTTTAGCATTTCAATTTATATGAACCAAAACTGATGATGGTGCTATTGATACCAACGTTTACTCTTGTATAAGCCAGACACCGAAGAAGAGGCTGCTGAGGCTTATGACATTGCAGCCATTGAACTCCGAGGGGTGCATGCGGTGACAAATTTTGACTTAAGCAACTACGATGAAGGAGGTATAAAACGATCGGAGGATCCCTGCACACTTGAGATGTAAAGTCAAATAATGGTTGGTTTCAATGAGTGTATACCTTTTGGACTCGGTCTCCCTCTGACCTTCCGAAGCAATAGTTTTTTAAGACTTTTGAGCAGAGTGTGTTGTTTGTAATGTCTGTTCTGGTGGATGTAGCTTTCTCTGGCTCATTTAAGTTGGACTCTGCCGGGGTCAAATGAAATGCCTGGTTAGCTTTGCTTGTCAGAGCTTACTAACTAGTTCTGCCCCTATTCCATTCAGATTCAGTTTGACATGGGTCTGCTCTGAAATGATCTGGGTTGCAACTTGTTTGTTGTCAATGCCAGTCAACGGTCTTGTGCTGCCTTTTCCTTTTAGCAACTGCTGCTTCTGAAACATGTTTAAAGGTATAATACAGCTATAAACAGTAGCACTAGAAAAATGTTTCTGGTAAGAGTCATATGCTGGTGGTATGTATGGCTATCCTCATTCTCAGAGGACTGATGTAACGAGGGATTGATGCAGAGCATTGAATTGGATGTTCTCGGCCATGGCTATTGGATTCTGCTAATAAATGGTGAGGAGAAAAGGAGGAATGCAGTCTTGACTCTTCATTGGCATCTTTATCCTGATCGTTCCTTGGACATTACTTTTTCAGATGTTTTCCAGATGAAAAATATAATTTCTTGCGGAGAGGCTTGCAGGTGTTCCATTGAGCCTCCAACCACACCGAGCTAAAAGCTGCATAGCTCAATTATTTCGCAAACGTGAAAGATGTTAAATCTATTTGGAGCATTAAATACATATGTGGGGTGACTTTTAACTAACTAACTAACTAACTATATATATATATATATATATATATATATATATATATATATATATATATATATGTGGATGTGTCCGACCATCGACCAGATTTGATCAATACAACCTGATGCAATTGCAATC